CACTAGAATGGCTATAATCAAAAAGACAGACAGTAACAAGTGCTGCAAGTTCAGCAAGCATGTAAAGAATGTACAGCACCTATACACTGTTGATAGGAATGTAAAATGGTGCAACCACTTTAGAAAATACTTCAGCAGTTCCTCAAAAAGTTAAACACAGAGTTACCATAAGACCAAGCAATTTCACTCCAAGAGAGGTAAAAACATATGTCCACGCAAAAATCTGTACAGATATTCACAGCTGCACTATTCATAACAGATGAAAAGTGGAAGCAACCCAGAAATTCACCAACTGAGGACTGTATTAACAAAGTGAGGTCTACTCATACAATGGAATATTATTCAGCTATAAAAAGGAATGAAGTACTGATGTGTATGCTACAACATGGATGAACCTTGAAAACATGCTAAATGAAAAAAGCAAGACACAAAAGGCCACATATTGAATGATTGCATTTATATAAAATGTCCAGGATGGGATAAAGACAGAAAATAGATTAGTTGTTGCCAGGGAGCAGAAGAAATGACTGCTATTGGGTACATGGTTTCTTTTGGTGGTGATGAAAATGTTTGGGAATCAGATAGTACAGTTGCACAACTTTCGGAATATATTTCAAAATCACTGAACTGTACACTTTAAAAGGGTGAATTTTGTGGTATAATTATAACTCACTTAAATAACAAAAGAATAACAGAGGAATAAAAAAGCAGCACAACTAAGGAATGAAGCAGATGTTGCTTTTCTGACCCAACATTTCTGTACACTTACTATGTTTCAGACCTATGCTGGTTGATAGGAACTCAAAGATGAGTAAAACAAAGTTGCTGTATTTTCTTCATGGTCCTTCTCCTTAGCCTACAAATATCTCATTTCTCAAGAGTGTGGCAGCTTTGAAAATGCAAAAACAGCAAGTATAAACCACAGACAACCCAAGAGAATGCAGATATTTACATTATAAACCCTCTCAATTACTCGGAAAAACCGTATTAGGTTTCACTAAATATGGGGGAGGGGAGAGATATGTTTCTAGTATTAGATGTTAAATAACTCATTGTTCCCCAATGCTGACAATGTCATTTTCCAAGAATTATTATTTAAATAGCTTCATTTCACTTAACTGAAAATGTTTTTTATAAATGTTTTTGATAAATCTTTGTTGATTGTATCACTTTGAATGTATTGTTTTTCTCAGTGACTCCCCAAAATAAAATGTGTTCTAACACTCTATTATGATAGCCATATGAAAAAAACTTTTTTTTTTTTTTCAGTAAGAACAAGTAACAGGGCAGTTCTCTAAACTAAGAAAGTGTTTGGGTTCTAATAAAATTTTCATACATCAGGGAAAATCTGATTTCCTGACAGCTGCACTTCTATAAAAGAATAGCTACCAAAAATCAGAGTAATGTTTAGACAGAAAATTAGGCTGAATAGTACTTTAAACATTGCAAGAAAAAAAGGTATGTTCTACTTAATCCAGGATATTAAATATTTTTGATTAATACATTATTTATACTAAATTCCCAAAAGGCAAAACTAAAATCTACATTATTATTACCTTATCTTTGGCCTCAGGCAGTGTGATTTCTCTAGGTTCTAAAAATGGTATTTCTCGAAAAGGTGGAACACATCTGACTATATCTGGTACATAATGTGTATGAAACAATGGCGGCATTGAGTATCTTCGTTCACCTGATAAAGGCACTATCTGGTTAACTACAGTTGGCTCTTGGTGGGGTGAATGGAAACGTTGCCGTTTACCGTCAAGAGGAAGGTTTTTTTCATCGCTTAATCTCCTGAAAACAAGCAATATACCTTAGTAATTAAAGATACAACTTTTTAATAACAAAAAGCAATTAAAAATATATAAATATCATAAGAGATAATGACAATATTATGATTCTTTCAATAAGGTCACATTATTAGCTTTATATGGCTCTTAAAAATATTCACGTTCAGCACAAGAAATGCCTCTCAACACCTTAGAAAAAAATAGTAATAACGCAGACAGAAAAAACTACATGTATATACTGAAGTTAGTCTCCCATATTTGAACTACCCCCCAATGTTTCATCTCAGTAGTGAAAACTTTGTAGGAAAAGTTCTATTTATAGAATTACTAAGAAGAAAAGATCCAAACTATAACATATGGAAGATAAGATTGAGTTGAGTGCTAGTTATAAAAAAAGGGCTCTTTGAATATACCTATGTTCTGACTCATCAGCAGGAAAGACCAAATTAAGAGACACTTTTCAATAAAGCTATAAAGACATTGGACAAATGAAGAAATTCGAAAATGAGCTGCAACTCAGATAATATTATTTTATTAATATTAAATTTCTTGGGAATAATTAGGTATTTTGGTTACATAGAAGAAAAGCCTTGTTTTTCAGGAGGAATAAGTTGACATGTTTTAAGGTAAAATAAAATGGTGTCAACAACTTTCTTTTATATAGTTCAGGAAAAAAAGCAGGTGGGCAGAAAAAAAAAAGAGAAAGAAATCAAATGTTAAACTTTTAACTCATGAATCTAGGCAAAAGGCATACAGATATTCACTATATTATTCTTTAAATTTTTCTGGAGGTTTAAATATTTGCAAAA